AAACCAGAGAGAAGAAGAACAGAGATCACGAGTCGGATGAAGATGCCCCCCGATCCACCGAGGAGAGCGCAGTAGTCGAGGATCCGAGCCCAGCCACATAAAGCAACAAACGCCCAGTACCTTGTCGCCCAGTACATCAAGCCCGACTACTGTCGGCCCAAGTACATTGAGCCCCAGCACCGGAATTCCAACCACCTTTCGCCCAGCACGGGAGTCCCTACCACGCGGGCCCAAGCACCGTGGTCCCAACTACCTTGTCAGTACTGTGACCCCACCACTAAGTCCGACCACAGCCGCACCCAGCACCTTGTCTCCCACGTGCCATGGCGACCAGCTCCACCCCCACCACCCTGTCCCCACGACTCTTGCTCCCACAACCAGAGTCCGAGCACCACAGGTCCCACAACTGAAGCACCCAGCACCGCTGGTCCCTCAACGAGAGTCCTAGCACCGGTACTCCCTCAACCAGAGTCCCTCAACGGGGACCCCGACAAACCGTTGGTCCCACTACAGGAGCCCGAGCACAGGGATCCCACAACTGTAAGCCCGAGCACGGGAGGCCCCACGACTGTTGGCCCCAGCACGGCAGGTCCAACAACTGCTGCTCCCAGCACGGGAATTCCCACCACACTCTCCCCAACCACTGTGAGCCCCAGCACCTCCGAACCATCCACTGTGAGCCCCAGCACCTCGGGACCAACCACCGTGAGCCCCAGCACAGGAACGCCCAGTACCTTGTCGCCCAGTACATCAAGCCCGACTACTGTCGGCCCAAGTACATTGAGCCCCAGCACCGGAATTCCAACCACCCTTTCGCCCAGCACGGGAGTCCCTACCACCACGGGCCCAAGCACCGTGGTCCCAACTACCTTGTCGCCAAGTACTGTGAGCCCCACCAGCCTAAGTCCGACCACAGCCAGCCCCAGCACCTTGTCTCCCACGGTGCCAGTTGGCGAGCCCAGCTCCACCCCCACCACCCTGTCCCCCACGACTCTTGCTCCCACAACCCAGAGTCCGAGCACCACAGGTCCCACAACTGAAGCACCCAGCACCGCTGGTCCCTCAACTGAGAGTCCTAGCACCGGTACTCCCTCAACCGAGAGTCCCTCAACGGGGACCCCGACAACCGTTGGTCCCACTACAGCGAGCCCGAGCACAGGGATCCCCACAACTGTAAGCCCGAGCACGGGAGGCCCCACGACTGTTGGCCCCAGCACGGCAGGTCCAACAACTGCTGCTCCCAGCACGGGAATTCCCACCACACTCTCCCCAACCACTGTGAGCCCCAGCACCTCCGAACCATCCACTGTGAGCCCCAGCACCTCGGGACCAACCACCGTGAGCCCCAGCACAGGAACGCCCAGTACCTTGTCGCCCAGTACATCAAGCCCGACTACTGTCGGCCCAAGTACATTGAGCCCCAGCACCGGAATTCCAACCACCCTTTCGCCCAGCACGGGAGTCCCTACCACCACGGGCCCAAGCACCGTGGTCCCAACTACCTTGTCGCCAAGTACTGTGAGCCCCACCAGCCTAAGTCCGACCACAGCCAGCCCCAGCACCTTGTCTCCCACGGTGCCAGTTGGCGAGCCCAGCTCCACCCCCACCACCCTGTCCCCCACGACTCTTGCTCCCACAACCCAGAGTCCGAGCACCACAGGTCCCACAACTGAAGCACCCAGCACCGCTGGTCCCTCAACTGAGAGTCCTAGCACCGGTACTCCCTCAACCGAGAGTCCCTCAACGGGGACCCCGACAACCGTTGGTCCCACTACAGCGAGCCCGAGCACAGGGATCCCCACAACTGTAAGCCCGAGCACGGGAGGCCCCACGACTGTTGGCCCCAGCACGGCAGGTCCAACAACTGCTGCTCCCAGCACGGGAATTCCCACCACACTCTCCCCAACCACTGTGAGCCCCAGCACAGGAACGCCCAGTACCTTGTCGCCCAGTACGTCAAGCCCGAATACTGTCGGCCCAAGTACATTGAGCCCCAGCACCGGAATTCCAACCACCCTTTCGCCCAGCACGGGAGTCCCTACCACCACGGGCCCAAGCACCGTGGTCCCAACTACCTTGTCGCCAAGTACTGTGAGCCCCACCAGCCTAAGTCCGACCACAGCCAGCCCCAGCACCTTGTCTCCCACGGTGCCAGTTGGCGAGCCCAGCTCCACCCCCACCACCCTGTCCCCCACGACTCTTGCTCCCACAACCCAGAGTCCGAGCACCACAGGTCCCACAACTGAAGCACCCAGCACCGCTGGTCCCTCAACTGAGAGTCCTAGCACCGGTACTCCCTCAACCGAGAGTCCCTCAACGGGGACCCCGACAACCGTTGGTCCCACTACAGCGAGCCCGAGCACAGGGATCCCCACAACTGTAAGCCCGAGCACGGGAGGCCCCACGACTGTTGGCCCCAGCACGGCCGGTCCAACAACTGCCGCTCCCAGCACGGGAATTCCAACCACACTCTCCCCAACCACTGTGAGCCCCACCAGTATCGGTCCAACCACGGATTCGCCCTCTACATTGAGTCCAACCATGTGCCAATATTCTACAACAACACATGACACCACCATTGGATTTGATAGTGACACATCATCAATCTCTGATGAGTCCCTAACAACGACCTTTGAAACTTCATTCAATTCAGTTGAACAAGATGAATGTCCATCTACCTTGGAATCCACAACTGTCTCCGAAAGATCTAGAAGGAGAAAACTTGAGGCTGGTGGCTCCAACAGTATCAAGTTTGAGCTCAGAATTCAATCAACAAATCCATTGACTTGGGTTGATTCAACTGAAACAGAAACTACATTCTTGACAACTTTTAATTCCGAAATCGAAACATTTGGAGTCTCAGCACTTCAGGTCGAAGATCATCCAGCACCAACAAATGCACCAACAGCCAGTCCAACCACAAGCATACCTACCACATCGGCCCCCACTGTTACAATAGACCAGCCCAGTACAACTCCCTCCACTTTGATTCCCACATCAATAAGCCCCAGCACAGCGAGCCCGAGCACTGCAGGCCCCACTACGCTTTCGCCCAGCACGGCTGTTCCCAGTACGGGGATGCCCACAACCCTGTCGCCAAGCACAGCAGGCCCCAGCACTGGCGGTCCAAGCACGACTGGTCCCAGCACCACAGGGCCAACTACCTTGTCGCCCACCACGGTGAGCCCCACCAGCGCCATCCCAAGCACTTCAAGCCCCAGCACCCTGGCTCCCACCGTCCCCGTTGGCGAGCCCAGTTCGGCGCCAACCACGCTGTCCCCGACAACCCTTGGTCCGACAACCGTGAGTGAGTCCGAGCACCACGGTTCCTCCACTCAGAGCCCAAGCACTGGTAGTCCCTCCACGAGAGTCCGAGCACTGGAATCCCAACTACCTTGTCACCGAGCACCGGGGTCCCAACAACGGCCAGCCCAGCACCGGAGTCCCAACGACGGATGCCCCGAGCACCGCGGGTCCGACAACGGATGGCCCCAGCACGCTGAGCCCGAGCACGATGGTCCAACAACGATAGCCCATACAGCGAGCCCGAGCACTGCAGGCCCCACTACGCTTTCGCCCAGCACGGTAAGCACCACTAGTGCAAGCCCAGACCTTAGCCCGACTCCTACTCCACTGTCCCTGTGCGGTGAACAAGTGCTGCTCCCCAACGTATCCCACAACTCAGAGCCAGCACTTTGGATCTGCGCTCAAAAGCCCAAGAGCCATGGAGCCGTCGATGAGATTCAGCAACTGGGACCACCCTTTCGCCCAGCACTGGAGTCCACACAACGGCCGTCCGGGCACCGCAGGTCTACAACGTTAGCCCCGGTACATCGAACCACCACCGGGCCCAACCACGGCCGGCCCTAGCACAGTGAGCCCAATCACGGAACCCGACCACTGTGTCGCCGATTCGGCAAGCCCCAGAACGGCATCCTACCTAACGACACACTGCCCACTACCTGGCTCCATGTTGCTGTTGATGAGAGAGCACCAGTCCCACAAGTCTGCCTCCAACATCTCAGAATCAAGCACAATGGGTCCAACAACTCAAAGTCCAGCACAGCTAATCCCTGACTCAATCCCAGCACGGTAGTCCACTACTCTTGTCCAACTAGTTTGTACCCCACCACACTTGAACCAACCCTAAGCCCAAGACTGGAACCCACAACATTGGTCGCCATCTACTGTCGCCCAACAACTGCAGGTCCAACTACTTGTATCCACAACACTTGAACCCACCACATGAGCCCGCAGTACGTCTAGCCGACTAATTAATCACCGATACGGGCACCCCTACATACTCTAATCCCGAAGCCTGCAGCCCACAAATTGTCGCCACTTAATGCCAGCCAAAACTCAGGTCCAACTACTTTGTATCCACAACACTTGAACCACCTGAGCCCCAGTACGTCTAGCCCGACTACATTATCACCGACTACGCAGCCCCACCACTCTGAGCCCAAGCACTGCAGGCCCGACGACATTGTCACCGACTACTGCCAGCCCCACAACTCTAGGTCCAACTACTTTGTATCCCACAACACTGGAACCCACCACTCTGAGCCCAAGTACGTCTACCCGACTACATTGTCACCGACTACGCCAGCCCCACAACTCTAAGCCCAACCACTGCAACCCAACATGTTCGCCATCTACTTGCCAGCCAACAATCAGGTCCACTTACTTGTATCCCACACACTTGAAACACACAACTGACCAGTACGTTAACCGACTAATAACCGACTAGGCAGCCCACACTCTAACCCAAGATGCAGCAACATGTTCGCATTACTGCCAGCCCAACAACTGCAGGTCAAACTACTTGTATCCCACAACACTTGAACCCACACACTACCGTGTCTGCCCCAATGTCCCGACGGAGCCCACAACTCTAAGCCAGACTCAGCACAACATGATCGCCATCTACTGCCACCCAACAACTGCAGGTCAACTACTTGTTCACACAATTCTTGAACCACCACTATTAACCCAAGCATGCAAGCCCAATACATGTCACCAACGACCTCCGGCCCACAACGCGGTCCAACGCTTGTACCCACAACACTTGAACCACCACCTGAGCCAAACTACTAACCCACAACTTGTGCCTGGCCTGCAGGTGATCCAGTGCCAGTCCCACAAGCAGTTGCCTACATCTGTTGGCCATCAACTTTGGCTCCCAGCAATGGCCCCACAGCTTTTCAACCCCAGATTCAACTCCTGAAGCAACTCAGGACCAACACAAGAGGTCACCCAAGAAGCGACTCAGAAAAACACTGAGAGTTTAAGCCCCAGCACAGCACGCCCAACACTTTGTCTCCAAGCACTGTGAGCCCACTAGTCAAGTCCGACACGGGCAGCCAACCACCTTGGCTCCCACGTTGCTGGAGTGAACCAGCGCCACGCCACACGCGGTCCCCACAATCTAGGCTCCAACAACTAGAGTCCGAGCACTGGTAGTCCCTCAACTCAGGTCCCAGAGCACCGGAACCCATCTACATTGTCGCCCAGCACTGGAGTCCCCACAATGGCTGTCCCGAGCACAGCAGATCCTACAACTGGTAGCCCCAGTACATGGGGCCCAAGCACGGCTAGCCCTAGTACAGCGAGCCCAAGCAACGCTGCTCCCTCAACCCAGGTCCCAAGCACCAGTGGTCCATCATCTGAGATTCCAACCACTTGTGAACCCCAGCACAGAAACTCCAAGTACCTTGTCGCCAGTACAGCGAGCCCCAGCACCATCGGCCCGACAACTGTAGGCCAATTCATGAGCCCAGCACTGGCACCCACCACAGCCAGTACCCCAGACAGGAATCCCAACGAGCTTGTCGCCCAGTACTGCAATCCCAACAACTTTGGCTCCCTCTGTTCCTGTGAAGGAACCCAGCATAGCTCCCACCACTCTTAGCCCCACAACGTTGGCTCCTTCAACAGGGAGCCCCACGACCTCGACCCCTTCAGCTAATCCCACGACGAGTGCTCCTACTTCCACAACCCAACACCAGATGCCCCATCATCGTTGCCCAGCAGTGCTCCATCGGTGCTACCTAGCAGTGTTCCCTCTTTTACTCCCAGTGAATCACCTGTAACAGATAATCCGACAAGCTCCAGTCCCACAACTGTTGAGCCTACAACGGCTATTCCTTCAACCCTGTTACCAACAATGGCTCCAACACCTGAACCTACCAACCAGCCCACCAACCATCCAACAAGTGCTCCAAGTAACCATCCTACACCACAACCTACTCAGCAACCCACCAACCCTCCAACTGAGCAACCAACTAGTCCACCGACAGAACACCCAACCAATCCACCTACAGGAGAACCCACTCCACAACCAACGGACCAACCAAGCAAGCGACCAACGGAACAGCCTTCCAAAGAGCCCACTGACCAACCCACACCAATTCCAACTGAGATGCCTCAGGAGACTCGTCATCTGAAGAACAGGAATGATGTTTCTGAAATTCGTGGATGTTTGTACTGTGGAAACCCCACAGTTCCCTGTATCAATCCCAAAAAGTCAGTTTTGTCACGAGGCATCTCAGGTTTCCTTGAATGCACCGACCTGTTTGGCCCCTGTGTTTGGGAAGGTGAAGAAATGCCTTCTTCCAGAGAACTGACCTTGATGTTGTTGGATGATGAATATTATGATGGTGTCTTTGTAGTCTTCATGCTGGGTTCACACCAACAGAAACCATCTGATGAATCCCTTGTCCATGTTTTCTGTGATTCTGCTCTTGCATCCACAAATGGTTTTTCCGAGAGAAGCAGTTTAAGTGAGAGTTTGATCTTGGGTGGAGGGGCAGGAAACCTTGGCAACCAGCTACTAGTTGGTCCATTTTCAAGGAGCAACCTTCCCATTGAAGTTTGTTTTGAGTTTACAACGATGCAGAATGTTGACAGGTTGCGTGTTTTGAATGCTGAAGATGTCCTAGATGTGGATGACCTTTTGGGAAGAGTTCAGAACACAGAGCTATGCATCAGTATTGTGACGTCTGAATCCAGCGTGGATTCCCAGCCCCAGTCTTTCAGTCAGGCTAATAATGCAGAGACTGATCAAGAAAAGACTGCAGACACATCTGAATATCCCAGTGAAGGGGGCATTGACAAAGAGGTTGAGTTTGATGAGAGCTTGGAAAGTACAGGTGGCCTCTTAATTCATGCTCTTGTCATTGCCTGCTTTGGATTGGTGATATGGATGGTTCACTGCGCGAGAAAATGGTTCTAGTTTTGAGGAGACAAGGTTACATTTTGCGGGAGCATGCAGTGTCCAAAGTAGCAAATTGCGTTTTGCCTGGTGATGTCCGCATAAAAAAGCAACTTGGGAGAAAGTGTCAGTCCAAGGCTTTCGCTGAGCACGCATGTTTATTTTATCTAGTATTATAGAAAACTAGTGTAATATCAGCAAATGATTTGTTTGCTAGCTGCCTAGCTGCCGCAAGCAAGAACTGCCCATCCAGCCCCTTGAGGATCCTTTTGACTGCGGGATGAGGGAGCAATCACAATGGCCAGCCCTGCAGCTACCGCACCAGGTACTGTAGAGAATGCCACCTTTGGATGATCATTCTTTGGATGACCCATTGGATACCACTTAAGTCTTTAAAGGCACTACCTGTATCACCTTCAGTGGGCTGCTACAGTAGCCCAAATCACTTCATGATGCTCAGTCTTCTCCTCGGAAAGGTGTTTGGGCTACTCGAGTAGCCTAAATTCACTCCTTTCTGTTTGGGCTACTTGAGTAGCCTAAATTCGCCTCTTTGTGTTTGGGCTACTCAAGTAGCCTAAATTCGCCACTTTGTGTTTGGGCTACTCGAGTAGCCTAAATTCGCTCCTTTGTGTTTGGGCTACTCGAGTAGCCCAAATTGGCCGTGTCAATTGGAAGTGTACTTAGACTGTTTTGGCTTGTAACTTGTGGCTTGTAGCTGTATGCCACCATTCAAAAAACGTCACCTATTTGGGCTACTTGTGTAACCTAACCTCCAAAAATCAGTTTGGGCTGCTTAAGTAGCCCATATGTTTGGGCTGCTCAAGTAGCTCAAAGAGATGTTGAGCTACTTGAGTAGCCCAATGCACTAGCTACACATTGGGCTACTTGAGTATTCTAGATTTTTGGCTACTTGAGTAGTCCAGTTCTTCTCTGCAACTTTAGGCTACTCCAGTAGCTTAATGCCACGGCCTTTAAGTAAGAAATTGGTGTCCTCTATGTAATGCAGGGCATGTACTTACTTAACTAACAAGTGGTATCCAATGGGTCATCCAAAGAATGATCATCCAAAGGTGGTGCTCTCGTACCAATAGATTCTTGTTCCAGTACTGAAGTAGTGGACTGGGCCTCACTAGAGCCCTTCCTCAGGAACAGCGGTAGTCAGGCAGCAAGGGAGCCTTGGAGTGCCTCAGGAGTATCCAACACCTCCAGTAGGCACCCAAACCAAGGACTTGGTCCTGTCAGTCAGACAGGAGGGCCAGCAGAGCTCTCTGCTGGGCCCTTTTGGGCCAATCGTGCAGTGGCAGTCTGGGAACAGTACTATCTGCTACCTCCTACTGCTTCTGCCCGGCCTCAACAGGATAGGAATCAACTGCTGCGGTATCAAAGGGGCTACAAGCTAATCAGGATCGGTCTCAATCTTTCGTACTATTTTCTTAACTATGATGGAAAGGACGATCCTTTCTTGCTGCTTTGGATGGAGATAAGCCAGCTGTGGGTGCTGGAGCTGTAGGCCAGCATAGCTGTTGGTGCTATCTCTGACGGGATCCAGAGCTCTCGCTCCTAAAAGTTATCGCTCCCCACGAGTGCGTATGGATCCGCTCTCATGGGAATGCCACGATATACGACTAGTTACTAACTAACTATTTACAAACTCTTC